TGAAGTCGTTCTTTTATGCGCTTAATATTAGTGAACGTGACGAGGAAAACATTTTGAACGTGGAAAGTGCTCTGTTTGGCCTAAAAAGTAAAGTTTCGACAAACCAGTTGTCCATTAAAGACTTTTTTGGTAAAAAGAAGTAACTTTGAAAGAGAAACATTGTTTTTTTTTAAATTTTTAATGCTTTCCCGCATCTATCGTTTTTATTTCCCACCCCCGCCGAAAACGATGCATCGAGGTTTCACTGTATCTTCATTCAGGAGCATAAGTCTGTTTTTAAATGAAAATAAAAAATACATGGTATAAACATTTCAGAAATTGAAATACTGAATAACCAATCTTGATTAAACTTTATTTATTAAATGACATCCTGTTATTTACATGATGCATTCAAAGTGGAGTGGCACCTGGTATTGGAGGAGCATCAGGTTTAGCTGATTTAACATCACTTATTGGAACCGTAGGCAAGATCTCTTCCTTTGGTTCTACAACTGATACATTATCTGGAAGTGGCTTTTTTGGGCCTGTCTTGCCATTAGGATCCCATGGCAACATGATCTTGACTTTAATCCCCAACACTCCTAAAATAACAGCAATAAAAATGTAAACCAATCACGAAACAACAGAGATCACATAATACAAACTTCATAATATGCGCTATTTCACAAAATAACCAATATTTTAAAATAATTTACATAGTTTCCAATGGATCAAAAACTCAACGAACAACTGATGTTTCTTCTCACATTAACTTACAAACCAAACGGCTCTTCAGCTTAAAACTTGGCCCAAACATCTCACAGATACTAAGGAAAAAAACTCCTCCCAGTAAAGCAGTCTTGATTGCACAACTGTTTTTACAATGCCAATAATGTATCCTTACACCATTAATTTTGAACAGGAATGTTATTAAATAGATTATTAGCATAAACTAAACACCTAAAATGACACAAGGTTCATTAAAACACTACAGCATAAAGAGATAAGTAAGTGTAAAAAAAGAATCTGACCGTCATTAGCTAAAATTTTTGATTTAAACAGACTTTACCATGTGTACAGAAAAAATCTGGCAATGTGAGTCAGTGTCCGTTAAATCTAAAATCCATTAAATGAAGGGTTTACTAACAATAACTGACGGAGATAGAGTCCCATCTCCGAAACGTCGTTTTACATTTTATATTTTATATTTTACTAGACGATGGACTATATCCAAGGAAATTTTTATTCAAATGACTCTTCACCATCGTCAAGATTTAATAACTTAATAGCTACATGATGTAAACCTAAGTCTTATGAAGGCACATTAATAAATTTTGTAACATAAATTGTCCAATAAATTAGCCAAAAATCTTAGACTTTTCCTCCTTCTTAAATAAATTAAATTATATAGCACAGAATGGTAAAATAAATGACATCTGCAAAAGGTGTGGAAAATTATGTGAAATCAATCAAGGTAGATGCACATTTAGCCGAAATCCAAATATGGTACCTTCTAAATGAAAAGCAAGAATGCTACTGAGCCAAACTTGCTTGGTAAAATGATGTGATTAACTGAATAACAATTTGATCTTTGAGTAATGCACCATTATTTTTGAAGAATGATTGAGATAAAAACAAAGCATAGGAGACTCCAGATTATATCCCGAGACCTTCGAAATATAAAGTTCCATACAGTAAACTATATTGATGTACATACCCTGCCTGAGGAGGACATGGCGGGTGGCAGTATCAACATAATCATTTGTTGGTTCCCCACTGTGAATCATCAGACCATCCACAAACTTCATAGACTTGGCTCGTTGCCCTCTGAGCTTTCCAGAAACCACAACTTCACAGCCCTTGGCTCCACTTTCCATGATAAAACGCAACACACCATAACAGGCCCTAGAGTATACAGTCAAAACCATTATCAACGATGCTTTACCTCAACATGCCTCCAGATATGTTGTCTGCCAACCTACGGTATTTAACAATGTTGTCAGTAGTGACCGCATAAAAAAACACAAACAGAACATAAAATAAATGTGACTTCTGGTTTTATACCTATTAAGTACTGCCATGACAGCTGAAACACCAAGAGGAAAGAAGTTAAAATAAACCCACAGACTGTTCACTGATTGGGGGATGGTGAGGAAGGTTTACTTATCTACCCAACACCATTACGCATGCCAAAACAAACGTCAGTAAATGTTGATTACATGAGCTGCACAAATGCTTAGGGCCACCCATTTCCCCATCAAAATTGCCTCATCCTGTGTTCTTCCTTTCATATAAAGAGCCACTTACAAACCCATACAAAACCAGAGGTAAAATGATTTCTGTACATTTGAATCCCTACATTTTTGATAGAATATGGGGAAAAACAAAGGATTCTGGGAAAAAAAGTCATAGGCATTATCTGAACTCAGTCTGCTCTACATTTCATCATAAATGCATTTCCGATTTGTTTGTAATTCCCAAATGCTTTTTCTTTCATGGAATTCAATACCATTTTAAACTGAGAAATTCTATAAACGTTTATAATCTACTTGGAAATTCACACATAAACATGCCACTTTCTGCACATAGCATTTTTTATAACAAAGAATTTTCTTTTTGTGAAAAAAAAAACAAAAAAAAACATTGACTACTACTAACCAAGAACTAACCTCAGCATCCACTAACGGATTTTGACATATAATCCATCATCAATGTGTTGTTCATTACAGTGTTGTCACATTGTTTCCGAAACAGAGGAGTATTCTATATTATGAACATATTACATGTCTGGCACATTTCCTACATACAAGTACATATTTATACATATGTGTATGTATAACTAGTCTGAAAACCAAATGTTTACCTCCTCACAGCAAGTCCACCAATCAGCTTGTAACGCAGAGACTCTGCTTGAGCAATAGCACACAAACCTCTTGTAGCAACTTTCTCTGCATACAACTCAACAGAATGCTCTGGAAAATTAAATCTCTTCTGAACAACTGAAGTTAATTCTCTAATGCGACGGCCTTTGTCTCCCAAAACATTCTGTGTACGAGTAGCCATAATGATTATTTCAGTCCGTGTTGGGGTCACCCGAACCTCAACTCCAGAATAGCCATCTTCTGCAAGTTCACGAGTTAGGAACTCGTTCAGTTCAGCCTTAAATACTCCGTCTCCAACGAACTGCACAAATATAAAGAGTGGTATGACATACTACCTGTAATCACTGTGCCATGCAAAAGTGGCATAAGTACTTAACTGAAACCTATCTTCTACTCTGTAAACGAACATTCCCATATACATAATACAGTATCCAATACCTAACAATACTGCACTCACAATGTTAAGCGTTACCCTAAGGACTGCATTAAAATTATATAACATTTACATACGAAACATGTCGCACTCTCTTGTAACAAGTACAAACACCATGCTCCTACATCCAACTAATCTCAGTCTTTAACAAAGCTGACAACAATTTCATTAAGGTACTTGGAAACTATTAATTTCCTTATAATTGTATCGTAACAGAAACACTAGCAGTTTTAGCAGTATGATTAGTTAAATATAATACAAACCTTCCTTTTCTTTGATATTGGATTCGCCATGTTTACTGTAAATGCACGAAAGATCCCTTTACTCCACAGATGATCATAACACAAACCAATGTGTAGAAATTATCTCTGAAATTGGAAAGAAAAATGTAGCACAGATATTAAGAAGACTTGCCTCTATGAGAATTATATTTCACTATACGAAGCTTATATTCTCCGATTTTCATCATGGCGGTGGTATGGAGAAGAGTTTTTACAGTTCTCGGTTTAGTTGGCTTGTGTTTTTTTGGAATTCCAATTAAAGTAGATAAAAATCCTGAAATACAAAAAGAAGAGTTGTTCAAAGAATTTTTACAAAGATTTAACAAGTCTTATTGTATAAATAATAAAACAGAGTATGCGAAGCATTATAATAATTTTAAGGTATGAGAACTCTTAACCATCAAATGTTGCTATATGCGTACATATGCTAAAAATTGTGTCGAAGAGTATAAAAATTATATGTACGTAATTTGAAGTTTATTTTTAAAATTTGTTTTTACCTGGTAACCATTGGATTGCCGTTGAAAATTATTACCTTGTGCGTTTCACAGTGGCCATAAATCAATTGTTATGGTAGAAAATTTTGTGTTAGAGGTTTTCAAGGCGGTGAGTCTGAGGATGGCTGCCTTCTGGGTTATTGTGCCCTGTTGTCTAGAGACAGTCATCTTCAGTAATTTTTTTTCTTTTGCCCTATTTATTGTCAAGGTATTAGTTTATATTTTGAGTTGTATACATATGCTGTGAACGTAACTACAACAGCTCGTTGCATACTGTCTGAACTTCTTACTTATGTAAATCCGGTCCTGATATGCAAGTATATTTTGGGGATTTCATTTATAAGCCGTTTAGTTTGTGAAGTAAAAGAACAAGCCACTGTTCCCAGTATTTATTATAAACTTTCGTAGTTTGTACTTTTTATGTTTCCTTTTCAGGGATAATTTTGTTTTTTTCAGGAGTCATTGAAGGTAATTGATGAATTGAATCAGGGCAGATCAACAAATCACAGTGCCCTTTATGGCATAACAAGATACTCAGACTTGTCAAAAGAAGAGTTTTTACACCTTTATTTGCAACCTAGGCTACATGATCACTTGCATTTGAAGAAACAGAAGCAGATTCATAATTCACAAAAATATTATTTTGGTCTCAGCAAGAGAGCATTGGTAGATGACCTTCCCATGCATGTTGATTGGTAACTTTATTGACATTTACTATTCAGAAATTTCTTTTCCAGTATTTGAATTTCCTGTATTTTTTGAAAGCTGAGGGTTCATTACAACCAGATGATTCTGATCCACACCCACCAACCCTTTTTCTCTTTAATTCATTTTAATATTATTCCACCATCTGTTCCCATGCCTTACAAGGGGTCTCGTCCCTCCAGGCTTTCCAATCAAAATTTTGTATATTTATTTTCTTCCCGTGCATGCTACCTGATGCACTGATCTCATCCTTTTTGTTTTCATGGTCCTAATAAAATCTGGTGAAGAGTGTAAATTATGAAGCTCATCACAGTGCAATTTTCTCTAGTCTGTTATAACTTATAAGTATGACTGATTGTTATTGTTATTATCAATATTAGTGTTAGTATTAGTACTTCATTACAGGAGGGAGAAGAATGTGATAACAGAGGTTCGTAACCAGAAGACATGTGGAGCATGCTGGGCCTTTAGTACTGCAGCAACTGTTGAAGCTATGTATGCGATAAGGACAGGGATACTACATAAGTTTAGTATCCAGGAGGTAAGTGGCTGTTTAGAGTTTTGATTGTTTCTTTGCAGCATCTAGTATCAATCCCTGATACTAATATATTATTCTGTCTTGTTAAATTCGTGTTTTCTGGATATAATAGCTTCTTTTGCGCTTCAGTTTATAATGACACAGTATTTTCAGGATTAGGTTTTTGTTCTTACCAGATAGTCTGGTCATTAATTTCAGTAGTTTTTGCATTACAGTATTGATAGCTTATTTTAAGTTCTATTCTAATTTCTGTCCTTATGCTTCATAACAATTAGAGTTTAGTTTTCGTTTGAATGAATTTCCATCCCTTTTCAAAACCCCCAAGCTGGAGGACCAGGTCTTTTGTATTAGAGTTTTCATTTGTTAAACTATTTCTGTATGACTGTGTTGTTCTGTTTTCCCATACTTTTCCATAGGTGAGTTGAAGAAGGATGATGGAAAAAATATATGAATTTTTATTGTAAAAAATTTGTTTTGGTATAATAAATGCATTGTATATTCTCAAGTAGAGACAGGAAAAAATAGGAGACATGTCTAATAAGTAGCTTCCAGGGATGTGTTATTCACATATTTATTACTTATAAATAGAGGAATAAGGATAATGGACAGAGTGAAACATTTTTCCTTTTGATGCACCACCTGTTCAGTTCCCGTGTAGAAGAAATCCGGGCTTACTTGTATTCCCACTGGCACACCATAGCTTTCACGTTGTCATCATTATGTTCATGCATTCAAAGATCTCTGTTCAAATGTTGATACATACACTCTCAGTACAAAAGAAAAGAATGGCAGATGTATCACTACTTATGCAATGGTAATTGTAAATGTGAAGTATGGAAGTGAAGGTAAGTCTCCAAATATTTTTAACCTCCGCTAAATGGATGTGATGTCAACTTGGAGCTTTAGCATCTTTACCGTGAAAGAACATCTGGTTTTAACTGGATAGGGGGCCTGAGAACCAACATGGTGGGAAGAGAAAATTCATACCCCACTCATGTTAATTACAAGGTGTGAAATTTATTTTCATTTTAAGTCATTGAGTGGCATTCTGCTCTTAAGATGGTGATGTATTAAGTAAACAAGGGACTCTATGTTGCTTTCAGCTGATTGATTGTGCAGAAAATGGTAATTCAGGCTGTGAAGGTGGAGATACATGCAGTCTACTAGAATGGTTGGTGGACAAGAAAATTAATATTGTATTGGATAATGAATATCCTTTAGTTTGGAGAACACAGACATGCAAATTAAAAGGGTATGTACTATGAGACATTTACGTTTATTTTTTCTTTACAATAAAATATTTGCCTTGCATTCATGAAGTACTTGGTACAGCCAATTGCTTTTTGTGGATGTTCCCACTCAGCAAAACTTTTTAACAAACTAAGTTGTTGTAGTGGGAAGCATGTTAGCACAATTCTAGGTACATTGTGCACCTCTGGTCATGTTAGGGCTGTTTAAAGAGCCATGGGTACGTTGCTAGAACCAGCACTTTCCGAGAAGCCCATAATGATGTGGAGATGCCTCCTCAGTGTACTGTGGTCAGTTAACCCTGTTACCAGCCTGCATTGTTCCCTGTCCAAGGCCATTAGGTCTTTGAGAAGTTAAAACATTTTTTATTTGATTGCTTGTTGCTTAGAATGTTAAAGCTATACAAAAATAATGATATTTGCTGTTTTTTTCAGATCAGAACACGTTATTAAAATAGCTTCAAATTTTTCATGTGAATAGTAAGTATGTGTTTTTCTTAACTATCTGTTTCCTTACCTAAGAGATTTGAGGTTTTCATAGTGGTGAAAATGTTCTTCTGGATTTTGACAGTGTTTTCTTATGGATGGTCATAAACATATTGCAGAAATGTATTAACTCCATATTTGGGGTAGGAGTGAAGCAGTAGCACATTCCCCTGAAGACAAGTGATACTTTTCTTCAAAAATGTTGGTAACCATCTACAAGACTGCATGGTGTCACAGCCTGAAAGGTCACAGTCTACAATTATCCATCTTCTGTTAAATAAAACTTCCTCATTGAGTTCTTGAAAAGTAATTTTCTCATAAACTATTAAATTTAAGTGAGCCCACATCCATATACATACATTTTCTGCAGTAACTTCTCCACAAAAAATATTGCTTTTTTATACATGAAATAGTAATGAGTATCAGTCCTGAAAAACTGTTTTTCTTCCATTTATAGATTTATATCTTAATATAACAATGTTTCTTTTGTTGTAGTTTGCATCAGCTTCTCATTTTATGTATGTACAGATAAACTTCTGTGTTAGTGCATTTGTAAGATGAATATACTTTTTGGTGTGCATAATGAAGGTTCACTATTGTTCAGGATTTTATTTCATAAACAAGATTGTTTGCATGCCTCCATAAGTAATAATGCAAAGGTAGGCTGTCTTGATGGCCAGGCTTGTGACCCTCCATGGCCAATCCAGCTACCCTCAGATCACTGGTTTAAAAAGTATCTTATACATCTTGCATTTCCAGAAGTTCTGGCAAGCAGTCTTCAAGAAATTTAATTATTCCTCTGCAGTTAAGCAGTGTTCAATTATGAATGGTCCAGGACGTCTGTCATCAGTAATCCTATACCAGATTTTTTTTGCAGACATTCAATGTTGAAAATGAGTCCTGATTCTTTTATTTGTATTCTTTAAAGACCCGTGAGTGGGAATATCCGTTGTTCGTTATTCCACCCATCATTGCCATAAAGTATGAGAAATGAATTGATCACTTCAAATTATCCCACCACAGAATTCCATATGTGAAGGGTAATCTTCAGTCTTTAGGCTTTATTAATCGGTTCGTGATATTTATTTTTGTCCACCAAGATGTTTTAATTATTAGATTTTGAATGTTAGAACTTTTAAAAACAATATATTTGAGTAGTAATTGTCTTTGATTGCAATAAATTTTATGTCTATATCTATGTTCTTGTCAGTTTGGTTGGTTCAGAAGATGAGATCTTGAAGCTTTTGGCTCATCATGGACCGGTCGCAGTTGCTGTCAATGCTTTAAACTGGCAGAACTATCTAGGAGGTGTTATTCAGTTTCACTGTGATGGGGGCCCTGAACACATTAACCATGCTGTTCAGATTGTTGGATATAACCGAAGCGCCCCAGTTCCTCATTATATTGTCCGCAACTCATGGGGTGCTGAGTTTGGACATAATGGGTACCTCTATATAGCAATTGGCAGCAATCTTTGTGGTATGTATTAGCATAGTGTTTTCATTTTGCCTTTTACAGTTTGAATTTTATTTTAAAAATAATACAGTGTTGTGATTAAAATCTGCTTATAATGGAATCTCAAGTGACCTGGACATTTTCTTGTTTTGGACACATTTATAGGCACTTACAGTTTACAGAAAATTTTGCGCAATACATGGAATTTGAATTAAAAGTCATAAATTTGTGTTGAATGTGTACAGTACACTTTACTGAGCTGTGCATGTTTTTAGAAATCAGTTTTTCTTTTTACAGCTGTACAATAAAGTTCCCAGCACATGTTTGATCATAAATCCTGTTTTATTTTTTCCCATTTGTAACATAAATATTAATTTAAATTCTAGAATGCATAGTATGTAACAGATGACCAGAAAGCACACTGCAAGCCAGCTGCAATGCTAAGAGGAAATTTTATATTTCCTTGTTGCATTTACATATGACTCAATGTTATTCAAGATTCCCTTTGTTTTGGACATGGATACATTTACACTAGAGTATCAGGTACTTCTATATGGATTTTATGTGACTTGTAAGTCCACTAAGAAGTCAGAGGAGATTTAGAAGTATTTAAGTTCTATTTGTACCCTTTCGTACATTAGTAATTGTGTGTAATAAAGAGAAACAATGGAATTATATTTCTTAAATCTCATTTCAGGTGTGGCTACAGAAGTATCCACCCTTGATGTCCTCTGAAGAAATATTAATTTTTCCATGACATTGATATCAATCTTGGATTCATTATAATAATATTTCAGTGAAATTTTATGTAAATAATTCTGTAGTTTTTATCTTTTTTCTTGTAAATAATGTTAGCTTTTGAAGTTATATAATTATGAATATCTGCACTGTGTTCCTATGTATATACAAGAAAAATGAACAAGATGTTCACGAAAACCCAAAGATTAAATTAAGCATCCATTTATAGTGATAAAGTGATAGATTTTGTCTTCCATGTAAGGAATTGATTGAGTGACTATCTTTAGGTTGTTAAAAGGTGCAAATGATTTCTTGGTGCTCAAAAGTTAAGCAGATACAGTACAATAATGAAACATTTTATTTTTATACTTTTTTCATTGTGTCATGTTTTTTATATAAATGTGCATAAATTAACTTTGTTTTCCACACTGATGTAACAATAAAGTACTACATGATTATTATTTAATGTAGGTGTTAAATGTTGTTACAAATTAATTGGAATTGTATTAGACTTTTAAAATGGCTAGTTTATATTTATGCCTATAATAGTATTAAAATAAAGTGTGTTTGTTTTGTTTGGCTGTGTTATTTAGTTTGTTGTTGGATGGCATGAATTTCTTGATGGATATTGTGTCTGCCATTAGATGTTTGTTCGATACGGTATGTTGTAATCGGTTTGTGTGTTAAATAGCTCCGAGTCTTTCTGATTTACTTCATTTTTTAGTGCAGCAGACCCTCCTTTGTGGGTTTGCTTATTTGTGGAAAAATTATGTGTTAATATTTGTGCATATTAAATATAATGTTTCATTTGTGTTTGGTTCCCCTAATTCTGTTTTTCCCATCAGGTCTGAACTTCATGCATAACAGTTTTGTCATTCGTGGGGTTATCTAAAACATAACCCTCAAAAAGTGAGATGAGCTGTATAGTATTTGCAGCATTGTGGATAAATCAGAGAACTGTGGTTCTTAGGCTTGCATTATTACTGTAAAGAAAAATAAGGAAATCATTGATGTGTGTATCGTATCAACATTTGTTTTATTTCAAGCAAGTCACACATGAAAGTTGCTTTATCTTCTAATGTAGCTCTTTGCTTTTAGTAAATTGCTTGGGTTAATGTTTGTATGTATGAGATGTGCATACACCTGTTTGCTTCAGGTATGATTGTATTTTCTGATATGTGTAAGTATATTTTAGGAATGAATGTTCTAAGAGTTCCTGATGGAATTATAAATTTTTATCAAAGTGATTTGGGGTTTTCACAACAATGAAAATATGGATTGTAGTTTCCAACATTTTTTTGAGAATGTGTTGCTTTAGTATAGTTAATAATTCTATAACATTGTTTTCACAGGCAAGACAGTTTGAAGTTACTGTATTTATTGTCTATAACCTCAGCTCACAGATTAGTATTTCTGTCTTAAGAGTTTATAAGAAATTGTTACATCTGTGTACATCTTCAGAGCTAACCCTGAAGGTAACAGTTCTGGGTTATGACACCATGTAGACTTATTAGTAGGTAATTAGATGCCCTCTTCAATCTCTGGCTGCTAGGTGACCATAACCAGCTTATTATACAAAGAACAATCTGTGTACACTGCTGTTTCATTACTTGGCAACCATTTAATGCATAATGTGATTAGTATGTGGCACCATGGCAGTCAACAATAAAACACCAAAGGTAATGTAACATAAAACGAATAAGCAATTTTATTATTTCAGCACAGTTTATAGGTACTTCCAGTAACTTTATTTTCATTGGTCACTGGGAGTATAAACATCGGCATAGCAAATAAACAAATTTATTTCTGTATAGTTGTAAGAAAAATTAGGGTAAGAAACAAGCAGTAAATGTTTAAATAATAATGGTGTATGGAAGATACAGATGCAGTGTGGTTGGGGTAAGAATATATGAGGAATATTTGTTAATGGGTATGGAAGGAGGAGCCAAAGGCTTGTATGCCTTGACAATTTCAGAGTGGATTTTGGTGGGATCTTTCATTGCACATTGATCCATTTTAAGAAAAATGTCCATTTTCAATGAAAAGAATGTTTCTGATTATATAAAAATATTACTGTTTTATTTCAAGTGACCATTGTTTTAATCCCATTTCTATCTTTGTACATCACACTTTGTGGCTATTGAATGTCATGTTCTGCTGCATTGCTGTGGCCTTAAAGATATTTTGTCTTTCAACTTTTGTCTTTGTTATTACAGTTTTGCCAGTAAAGTGTAATCCAAACTCTGCATTTTGCAATGCAATCTCTTTCTAAAGCACTTTTTTGCATATGGTATATATTAGATTTGTGAAGGATTAGACTGTACATTTTAATACCACTGGTACTACTAGCAGTTGCGTTTATAACATGTCACTGTATTAATTTCAGATATCAAATTATAATGATTCCTGAGTTTTTTAGTCAAATGAATATATTTCCTGTGATGTAATTTTAATAAAAGTAATATTTTAACTTTTTCATACTTTACAAGGTTTTCCATCATACAAAGCTTAAAGGCACTGCATTGAATGAATTCTAGTGTGACTGCTTAATGTAAGCCCTATCAAAGAGAGGTAGTTAAAAAGTTCCAAAATTTGCTTTTCTAGACCGTGATGTCTATAGTGAGTTTTACAAAAATTAATTACTGTCTTATAATGTTGATGTTAACTTTTGAGTCAATTCACAAACATAGTTCATTAAAGTGTTTGTTACTGGAGAGACCTTTCTTCTTTTACATTATCAAAATGGTGTCTTAATGGACAAAACTGTGCCTGCAAAAATAAATTATAATCTTAAATTGTATTTAAATTATACAGTGCATATATGAAGACTCCAAAACATTTGAATAAGCAATACTTGACAATGTACGGGAAATGATTTATTGTGATCGCAGCGTCTGTAGAAATCTGTTGAATGATTTCTGAACTGTCAATAATGATGTCTATGCAAATCAAAGTTGAGGATCTGCAACTTGTTTGGCACTACACTTTGCCATCAGAGCATCTTTAATTTGGTAGTTTTAATTAATTTTGTTTTTTTTAACATCGAGTTTACATATAGATTTGGTAGAGCAATATTTTGAAAATTAACAAATTGCTGCATGCTGTATGTTTTCCTACAAAAGCTGCCAGTATCTGCTCACAACAAACAACAGTTTGTATTTGTTCTTAATTACTAACCTCACTGTTTATGGGGAGTGAAAATACTCCTTGCATTTATCCAACAGAGGTCATAATATTATTAACTAAGAACCGCTGTTCAGATGTAGAATCAGAGGAAGAATACAATATTTTACCTTAGTCTCTAAACTCCCCTTGAACACATTTTCTAAAAATGATTCATATATAAATTAAAAGTGTGTGTTGAATCCAATTCTGAAAAACTACATTAAAATTGTCAAATAGATGCCTCTACAGATCTTTCAAGAGGCTTATCAACTTCATCACTGTCTGTTGCGTCATTCCAGTTTCGTATTAGATCTCTTGAAATGGACAGCTTGCTCTTCATATGTCGTGTTAATGGTGGTATATACCCCCGTGGAATCAGAAATGTTGATAGATTGAATAAATCCAAAAACACTTTGTATCGGTCGCTAGAAAAAATTGTCATGGTATAAGATAGGATTTGTTTTTATACTAAAACATTAATATTATCAATTGATTACTTAATTTTATGTGAAACATTCTTACCTGAGTGTGGAACGGAGATACTGGTAACCTGAAGAACCGCCTGTCCCCAGTTGTGCTGAACCAATCATACGCTGTACCATAATCACATGATTGTCTGAAATTAAAATTATCTTGAAAGACCTGCTGCTGCTAATAGCAAAAGAAGTGTGTACACAGTTTGGTTCGAAAATTTAATGGAAAGAGGCCACTTTGGAGATGACATGCAGAAAAATAATATTAAAATGGATGAAGTCCAACAGTGAGAATATGGTTGTATAAGGCAAGGAATTTGTTGAATGGTCTGGTAAATGTTAATGGTTAGGGGGAACATATAGCGGATAGTTTATTTTAGTGAGTCCGTGTGACAAATTTAAGACTTAAAAGCAATCATAACTAGTTCTGTTAAAATATAGCATTATAATTGGATTATATTTTAGATCCTAATTCTTTATATTATTCATACATTTTGAATTAACTTGTATCTGGTAAAGTGCAGTCTGTCAGACCACTTGAATTTTCCTATTTGTTGCCAGCCACCTTCATTTTCTCACATTCAGGCATCCTTTTGTTTATATTTCAGTCAATGTGTGAGTTGAGTTAGTAATGTGACATCACAGAATCTCATTGTTTGTGATTTATTCTCAAAAGGAACCTTTCAGCAGCAAATTTATGGTGGCAGAAATTATCGAAAGTATAACTTAAATTATTTTTATCATTTACCATAAATAGTGTATTGATAATTAGGCTTACTTTCTATCATCATGAAATATATTATTTACAAATTATTTTTTTTACAAGTTTTGATGCATAAAACGATTTTTAAGACTACAAGAGTGAGGGTCTGTAGGAAAGAAAACATTACCTCCTTTTTTTTTTTTTGGGGGGGGGGGGGGGAAAGT